CCCGAATTTAATGAGAGAAAGTAAGTTGGAAAAAGCACGATTCTTGATTTAAAAAAAATTCCAATTCCATATTTTGGAATATTGTATCGTTTTTCGTGACCTCAAATTTTTCTTCTACTTTTAATCTCAATTTTCAATCTAACATTTATTTTGATACTTTAAATACAGTTAAATCACTCCCATTTAAAAGTATTTAATCTTTAGTTTTGTCAAAAGTTTCTTTGTTAAATATTTAAATAGGAAATTGTTTATTTGAAGTACAAAATAGAAGCTTAATTTTCCTATATAAATAAGAAAACTATAAAAAGGTTATAAATTCTTTTTTATTAAAAAAAGATGCGATAGAATTTCTTTATTATCTCTTCTCAACAATTTCAATTACAACATATATACATACATATATATACTTTGTAGATACTTAATATTTTCGGCAATAATTTTGGAAAGAGAGCATTTTTTAATCTATGCAAATATATATGCGTGTATATGTGTTTATCTCTTTACGAGGCATTAAATTTCTTTAATCATTAAGCCGTGTCCCATCCGATTGCACTTTTATTTAATCTGTGAGCTACTGCTCTTCTTTCGTCCGCGTCTTAAGAGACGACTTAACGACGGCATCGGGAATCACCTTGTTCGCGTTAGCTACGTGATCACGATACGTCACGTCGTAGTAGGTACTCTCGTCGAGTGCATTGATCTGGCGCGATCAAGCTGTCGAGGCATCTCGCGCGCGCACGATGACTCGACGAAGCGAGTAACGCGAGCGAGTGCCCGGGGATAGAAGGGGTAGGGGGAGGGAGGGGGTTAATTAGCCGGATACGCCACTTCTCTCTTTCCCCGCGTCTATCGCCACGACGTCGCGTCGCGACAAGGACGCGCCGCGCTGTCGCTTCTCGCACACAATTCCTCTCCACGTGGAGAATATCAGCCCCGTACGCGCGGGGAGGGAGGGAGGAAAGCCCCCGCGCTCCATTGACTTGATTCGCCGAAGGACGCTTTATATCACCGGCCCACATACCAGTGCACCTCTTCTGTCTCTTCGCGCGACCTCCATTCAGTCCGGCGTAAATACAAAGCGCGCCGGCAACCCGGGCTCGATCTCGCATCTCTATGAGAGGAGGAGAGATTGAGGGAAAAAAAAAATCCCTTTGACACTTTGACACCTGCCGCCGCGAATCGATCTCTCCTACTCGTGGATAATTAGCGGGCGATAACAAAGTTAACGTGACTGTTTCAGCGATCGGTAGCAAAACACTGGTGAAGACTTGTAAAATTGCATTTATGTTTCAGAAGAAGAGCGTTATTTTTCATTTAAAATATAATTTACTTAGATCGATAGTAGAGAGAGAGAGAGAGGGAGAGAGAAAGCGCGTTATTTATTGAGCATTCCGGGATGAATTCCCTCAAGTGTTTGAATCACAAATACATGGTGTTTGTTAAATAATGATCACCCGCAGATGCGTGATTAGTTGAATTGATGCTGCATAAGTTTTACGTCTAACTTGTTATTCATCCATAGTTATGGATAGACGATCGAGAGAAAGAGAGGAGTAGTCGGGAGGAAGATAGTAGAGCGACGCAATGATTTTTCTGTCAAATCCGATCAAGTCCGGATAAACCGAGGAATCTCGCGGGTCACGAGAAATATCGCAGGGAAATCAAGGTGGCGGAAATTACGGCACTTGGCGAGCACGCGGAGCCGCAAGGCCGTGTATTTTTAACTCGAGAACCTTCCGGCAGCCCCGTGTTGCCGCGGGATCAATACCTACACCTACACAAGCAACCCCCGGTCTCGTTGGAAGTGGAGAGACCGCCGCTAGCTTTAACCTACATATCCCTCGCGAGCCCACCGCGGAGTCGAGTAGAGCGGCCGGAAAAAGCGGGTGTGCATTAGATGCGCGGGCGGATAAAGCCGAGAAGAGCGAGACGCTCTTCTCGAGAGGAAAGTCGGAGAAAATCGCGTGTCCGCCTCCGTGGAAATATTTTATCGCGATATATTCCATTCGTTGCGCGCGCGAGAGAGAGAGAGAGAGGGAGAGAGAAAGCGCGTTATTTATTGAGCATTCCGGGATGAATTCCCTCAAGTGTTTGAATCACAAATACATGGTGTTTGTTAAATAATGATCACCCGCAGATGCGTGATTAGTTGAATTGATGCTGCATAAGTTTTACGTCTAACTTGTTATTCATCCATAGTTATGGATAGACGATCGAGAGAAAGAGAGGAGTAGTCGGGAGGAAGATAGTAGAGCGACGCAATGATTTTTCTGTCAAATCCGATCAAGTCCGGATAAACCGAGGAATCTCGCGGGTCACGAGAAATATCGCAGGGAAATCAAGGTGGCGGAAATTACGGCACTTGGCGAGCACGCGGAGCCGCAAGGCCGTGTATTTTTAACTCGAGAACCTTCCGGCAGCCCCGTGTTGCCGCGGGATCAATACCTACACCTACACAAGCAACCCCCGGTCTCGTTGGAAGTGGAGAGACCGCCGCTAGCTTTAACCTACATATCCCTCGCGAGCCCACCGCGGAGTCGAGTAGAGCGGCCGGAAAAAGCGGGTGTGCATTAGATGCGCGGGCGGATAAAGCCGAGAAGCGGGACGCGCTCTTCTCGAGAGGAAAGTCGGAGAAAATCGCGTGTCCGCCTCCGTGGAAATATTTTATCGCGATATATTCCATTCGTTGCGCGCGCGACGAGAGAGCGAGTCGCTCCTCAATTCCCTAAAGATGCGTGATATTTTTTTTCCATTAAATAATTGTATGTGCGCTTGGATATTTTAAAATATTTTTTAAGTACGCGCGCGTACGAATAATATTTTGCGATTTTTTTCAGCGAAGGTGCAAAAATTGCGCCGAAGATCGTAAATTAATTTTTTCCAAACGAATGAGATAATTTCAAGATACGCACTGTCGTTAGGCGATAAGGCATAAAAGATCGTCGTTGAAATTTTCCAGACACAATAACGTAATCGTGTGCGGCATGCTGCGCGTACATCCCTCTTTTTATTACAGATAGGATGTACCCTATGCCAGCTTTGAGAAATAAAATCCGCGTAAGAGAGAAACGGAAGGACTCGGTAAAAAGCGAAGTCGCCTCGCGTCTTCAAGAGGGTCACCGGCCCGAAAGTCGTAGAAACTCTTTTGCGGTTCTCGTCTCCTTCCATTGCCTCCTCTTCTCTCTCTCTCTCTCTCTCTTCTTCTCGGATCGAGCGACATTGCGGGGTCGAAGGAGAGAAGCCAGAAAAGGCGGAATCGAGTTCCGAGACTCTCGGCTCGGGTCGCGCCGGATATACCCCGGCAGTAGCAGAGAAGAAGCCCTTGGTAGACGCCCAAGAATCTCTATTGCGAGAAAAGAGAAAAGAAGGAGGAGGGGCATCGAAGAAGGGCGAAAGAAGGAGAACAGAAGCACCTTTCGCTCTCGGTGCCATTCGGCGAGAGAAGCAACTTTCGCGATTGCGGCAGCGCCCACTACTCTCAGGATGCATCTAAAAGGGCACAAAGTCCCCCTTTTATTATCTCTCGACTCGTTTGCGTTAGAGAATCCGTGTCTGCGGAGACGTAAAAGCACTGTTATACGAGCGATGTGTGCGTCACGCGTTGCATAATTTACATGTGGCGCGCGTAAACAACCGTAAAAAAGAGTGCAATGGAATGTAAAAGTTGTGAGAACTTGCTTAGGCTTGCCAAAGAGGAGAAAATGACGCGTATAGATACGACTTGCTTCGTAAATAATAGTACCGGCATAGATCTAAAATTCTCTAAATCGTGAAAGGAACCAATTGCCAGAGCAATTGAGATCGACTGAGCATCAGTCGATTAGTCATAATGAATAAAATATTTTACATATTATTTATTATTTAAATTTTATTACTTAAATAAACACTTTCAATTATAAAAAGATGGTAATTGGGTTATCTAATATTTTTATTGAATTTTGTCTATAATATTTCGTCGATACTCGCGCGAGTCCTCGAGGTAGCATTATCTCAGAGGCGTCTCAAGGGGCAACGACGAGGAACGTTCGGCTTGCCTCTCTGTTCCGGTTCCTTGAGCGCACGAGGCCGAGAAACGGCGCGAGGCAACCGGAAGCCGCGTTCCGTTTCAATGCGCGCGAACCTCGCTCGTGAAAGGAACCGATAAACGCCGTCGAATCCTTCTCCAGCAGATCGCGTCAAAGGAGCTCGGCGAGCTCCTTTGACGCGATCTCGCTCTTCTCACCGCGTGGAATCCGCGCCGCGACGACCAACATCCAGATCTTTGCATACAACTTGGCTGTGGGGGAGAAGGGGAGGAGGAAGGTAGAGGGAGAGAGCGCACTCGACCATCTATTGTCGATCTCTGATAATGCATACGAGAGAATGGGCGCCGTCCCGCGCGATAATATTCCCATTCGACGGTCGGCAAACTTGGCGCCACTCATTTGTGAATCGTAATTAAGGTTTGCCGAGAGGAGAGTAGAATAGATGCCCCGAAAGCGTGTTTAACCCCGTAATGTAGGAATTGAATAGGAAATTGAAAGGAGGAATTTGTCAGTTAACTGCTGCATCGAACGATAAGAGAAGAACATAAAAATCTGTTCAATTAATTTCTATGCAAGGTGTTTCATATAGGTAAATGTAAAAAACAGACCGGTGTATTCCTTGTTAAAAAATAAGTATTCTTTTTCTTTAGCAAAATTTTCGAAAAGAGATCTTGTTTTTTAATATGTCAACACACAATGCATTTGTCGTTTCTTGATTCTTGGTAACTCTGTTATAATTAAATTTAATATATATATATTTTTTTATAATGGAACATTTAAAAAAATTTTATTTGATCTGATGAAATAGATGTTAATGTCTACTATATAATAAAAATATTAAACTTATATGGAAGACTCTGTATATATGTATATATTTTGAAGAAATCGCGCACACAATACGATCAATTATTATTGCATTATTTATCTTTATTACGATAGATCTCTCATAATTTTCCTTTTTATATATGATTACAGATCTCTAGATATTCGCGACTACTGTGACTCGCATGACGATAGTCCGCGCGCGGTGAAAAATCAACGGTCACCACATCCGGCAGCTCCGTTAGTCGGGCGTACGTGTATATAACACACCACCATCTCCGGAACAATTCCCCGCCGGTGGCAAGACGGCCGATCGTGTGGACGTCCTCGGTGCTATCCCGGTGCGAGCGACGACAACAGCCCAAAGATTCTTCCACCAAAGGCCAAGATGCATATCGAGGTGCAGGTGGCGCTTAACTTCGTGATATCGTATCTCTACAACAAACTGCCGCGCAGACGGGTCAACATCTTTGGCGAGGAGCTCGAGAAGGCGCTCAAGGACAAGTTCAAGGGCCACTGGTATCCGGAGAAACCGTTCAAGGGCTCGGCTTTCAGGTGCCTGAAGACCGGCGACCCGGTCGACCCGGTGCTGGAGCGCGCCGCCAAGGAGAGCGGCGTGCCGATCCAGGACATCCTGGAGAATCTGCCGGCCGAACTCGCCGTCTGGGTCGATCCCGGCGAGGTGAGCTACCGAATCGGCGAGTTGAACGCCGTGAAGATCCTGTACTCGGAGACCGGCGACCCGCACGACGAGACCTCGGCCGATCGCGAGGTCACTAAGACCTTCAATCCGGAGGCGCAGTGCTTCAGGCCGATCGAGGCCGTCAGCACGTCCCTGAGCGGTCTCAGCCTCAGCCCCAAATCCACCTCGCCGTTCTCGAGCTCGCTCGGCAGTAACACTAGCAACGGCTCGTCCAACAATCAGCAGAACGGTCACGGGTCCGGCTCCTCGTCGGCACCCTCGCCCACGCCCATTACCAGCTCCTTTAAGGGCTCGCCCAGCCCCGTGCCGGCCTTCATCCCGCGTACCACCGCCCCGCTTACCTTCACCACCGCCACCTTTGCCCAGACCAAGTTTGGCAGTACCAAGCTTAAGACTAGCAGCAAACGCGCCAACAGGTTAGTAGAGCAATATTCTTTTCATTCTATGACTAATTGACTAATTGAACTCAGGTTTAATTGTCATGTCGAAGCTTACGAATATTCAGGGCGATAATTAACTTGACTATCATCATGAAAATTAAGTCTATTTAGTTATTCTTTTATTCTTTTAAATTGTTTGGTAAAAATGTTTTATATGACTAATTTTTTTGGCGTCATTGATCACGAATATATAAATAAGCATTCATTTTCCAAATTATATAATGATTATTACGAGTTTTTTGCAACAAAAGAGAGAGTGTGTAACTGTATAATAATTACTTTTCTCGCATAGTGATATATGAGAGTAATTATCGCGGTGGAGATTTATCGTGCACGATAATGCAATTAGTAAGTTTATTCTATTCAAGAAGTGTTGACAACAAAATGTATAAAAAATTTTAAATAATTTACAATGCAATTTATTTAAAATAAAATGGTTATTTATAAACTTGTTTGTTTTCAACACTCCTTAAACTCTTTTAGATAATCTAATCTATATTCACATAGAATGCTGCTTGAAATTGTGTCTCAGGTATATTCTTACATCCTCGGTAAAAATTAACTTTATTCAGTTCCCGCGGTACAAAAAAAAATACAAATTGCACGGTGGGACCGTCCTTAGGTAAAAAATTAATCAGTATCACGCTATGATTATAAAGCAACTAAGCATGCCTATCCGAAGCTTATAGAGATTCATAGAATGTACGATCGTACATTGTCAATAGCAAGGATTAACTTTAGCCAACCCACTCGTACTAACGGGACCGCGAGACGATCCATCACCCTGGGACATACACACGTAAATGTATACGTATACACGCGCAGACACTGATGAACCACACGGTACCGCTCGGTTTCAGGATGTCGCCCACCGAGTTCTCAAACTATATAAAGCAGCGCGCAGCGATGCAGCAGCAGATCCACCATCACCACCACCATCAGCAGCAACAGCAGCAGCAGCAGCACCAACAGCCGCCGCAACAACAGCCACCGCAGCAGCAGCAACAGCAGCAACAGGTGACCGCGGCCGGTGGAGCGGGTCTGCCGGTCTCGCAGAGTTCGCCGCGTAGTCGCAGTCTATCGCCCGGTAGCATAGTCGCCGCGGCGGGTGCCGCGCAGCAGCACACGGACCCGAGCGCATACTTCTTCCAACACGGCCCGGCCGCAGCAGCGGCGGCGGCGGCGTATCACGCGCAGTTCCCCCATCGCAACATCTTCGACTCGTCGAACCATGGCGGCTATCTGCCGGCCGATCTCTACGCCGGTGCCAAATTTCCGTCGTCGTATCTCGACCCGACCGCGCTCGCCGGCCATCAGTTTTACGGCGGCGGCATGAACGGCACCGGCGCCACCGGCACCGGCGGCAGCGTGAACGGCACGGGTACCGGCGCCGCTGGTACCCAGAGCACCGGCAGCGGTAACCTTGGCCCAATCGGCTCCGCAACGACCAACGCCGGCGCGGCAGCGGCAGCGCAACAGCAACAGGATAAGAGCGCCCTGGTCGAGGGCCTCAACAACTTCGGCCTCAGCTCGGTCGCGCCCTACCCGGCCAGCCAGTATCAGCATCTGCTCGTGGCCAACTAATACCTCGCCGCGCGTGCTCATCAAACCATCAATGTCGGCAATGCTGCCGCGATGGGACGCCGACAGCATCGGCGTCCCGACGCGCGCGGTCCCGCCTTCGTCATCGGTGCCGCTGGTCCAACGGCGGGCAGGAAGGAGAACGGGAGACCGTTGTCTCCGAGGTTCCGTCGCCGAGACGGCGTCCAGAGTCCGGCTTCCGTACCTTGATAACTGGAGTCTGTTCCACTCTGTGTCTCTCTTCTCGGATCGCCCCAGCAAACGGTCGACAAGATTTATCTGTCCTCTCCTGCGATTCCCATCATTCTCAGGACGCTCTTTCGTTCGATTTTTCCCAATACAAGGAATTACTTTGTACACGTATATATATATATATATTATCGGTAGCTATCGACGACCGTGGGAGAGATAAAGAGGAAGAGAGAGGAGCCGCCTGGGCGATCGACACCGATGACGATTACGGAAGCGATCGAGACGAGGAAAGAAGGTGCGATTGGACGGAGAGCGTGTGCGTGTGGAGACGATGTCTGGTTCCGAGATGTACGTCTGATTGCGAGGTAGCGTGTGCGTGAAAAACGTTTTAGGCGTGGAGGAGAGAAGAGGAGGAAAAGGAGAAAGGAAATGGCTAAAAACGACTAACGAGAGCGTGTATATGTGTTAAAGTTGAAACACCCGATGAGGACTCGATTGCGATGCGACGGCGCGAGGTGCTCGTTCGACGATAGCCGCGTCGCGCCGTGTAACTACTGTACACAACACACATACATACGTATATATACATATAT